TTGCTGCTTCAGCAGCTGCTCTAAACCACCACCACCACAATGCAGGGCCAAACTCAACCCTAGCTAGCTGTAGCTAGCTGCAGCTAGCTGCAGCTAGCTGCAGCTAGCTGCAGCTTACTGAGCTTAGCTGTAGCTAGCTGTAGCTAGCTACAGCTAGCTGTAGCTAGCTACGACCAGCCGTATCTTCCTGTGGCTAGCTGTAGCTAGCTGTAGACAGCTGTAGCTAGCTGTGGCTAGCTGCAGCTAGCTGTGGCTAGCTGTAGCTAGCTGCGGCTAGCTGTAGCTAGCTGTGGCTAGCTGTATTGAGTTGGGGTGGGGGAGGCCCCTTGCTTGTCTCTGTTTTTTTTTTATTTGTATCTATTTTTATTTTATTCTGTTTGTCTTTGTCTCCTTTGCTTGTTTGTGTTTATAGATGCTTCGTTAGCAGCAGCAGCAGCAACAGCAGCAACAGAAACAACAGCAGCAGCACCGGCAGCAGCAGCAGCACAGCTTCTGCTGCTAGGAGGAGACAAGGAGACAGCCCTTGAGCAGCAGCAGCAAACCTCCTTGCTGCAGCAGCAGCAGCAAGCCTTGCAGCAGCAGCAGCAGCAGCAAACCTCTTTGCTGCAGCAGCAGCAGCAGCAGACCTCCTTGCTCCAGCAGCAGCAGCAGCAGCAGCAGGAAACCTCCTCGCTGGTGCTGCAGCAGCAGCAGCAAACCTCCTTGCTGCTGCTGCAGCAGCAGCAGCAGCAGCAGCAGCAAAGCAGCAACCCCACACGCAGGGGAAGAAACAAGACTCCCCCTTTTGGTGGATTTATTACTAACACTATAGACAACTCCTTTGAGGGTTTAGGGTTTAGGGTTTAGGGTTTAGGGTTTAGGGTTTAGGGTTAGAGAAGGAATACAAGCAAAGAAAATACACAAAACAACAACTGCATATAGATCTGTATATAACACCAAATACACGCAGCCAGCTAAACCCTAAACCCTAAACCCTAAACCCTAAAGAGTCTAGGGTTTAGGGTTTAGGGTTTAGGGTTTAGGGTTTGTGAGCAAGACACACACAGTTGGGGTGTATGCACAGCTACACCCTAGGGTTTAGAGAGAGAGTGGTTTTCTCTTTAGCTTTATATTATAAAATAAAAACTTTTGTTGCTGCTGCTGCTGCTGCTGCTGCTGCTGCTGCTGTTGCTGCTGCTGCTGCTGCTGCACAGGCGCAGCCGTAGCAGCAGCGGCGACAGCAGCAGCAGCAGGAGCAGCAGCAGCTGCTGCAGTTGTTTCCGCTGCAGCAGCAGCAGCAGCAGCAGCAGCAGCAGCAGTGAGGTGTTATTGTTTATAAATATTAAAAATAACAAAAAAAAATAAATATAAAAAGACAAAAAGAAAGAAGGAAAAGAAAAATAAATAAATAAAGCCAAGCTAAACCAGTCGGCGCATACAGCAGCAGCAGCAGCAGCAGCAGCAGCAGCAGCAGCAGCAGCAGCAGAATCTTCATTCGCAGCACTACTGCAACAGCAGCAAACTCCTTCCAGCTGTATCTGCTGCAGCAGCAACAGCAGCAGCAGCAGCAGCAGCAGCAGCAACTCAGCAGAAGGACGCTGCAGCAACAGCTTTCTTCACAACAGCCCCAAACCCTAAACCCTAAACCCTAAACCCTAAACCCTCAAACATAAACACAAACCCTAAACCCTAAACAGCTGCTTATTTATTTG